GTGGAAGTGTCCGTGCTGAAAAGTGAAAACGTGCAGAAGTGCTCTCGAGCCCTTCTGTTGTGCCATACGTGCAGAGGGTGCGTGTCAGCGCGGAGCATGTCAGAATTACCAGTGCAAGTGATATGAGTCTCTTCCTCACGGTTATCACACGACTGCTGTTCCCACGGGCGGGAGGGGCACTGCCAAAGGGAGCTGTGCTGCTCACGGCATGTTACATGGTCCAGCCATGTGGGACCAGAACCTTCTCCATACTCAGGGCCAGACTCGATATTCCTTTTGTCCCCACAGTTCAGCTGCTTGCAGATGATTGACGGGGTGACTCCAGACATCTGATTGGAGCAAACGCTGCCCCACGTCCCATTGTAGAAAACCTCCAGCCGCCCGGCACAGTCACTGCCAATCACCAGCCGCAGGTCTGTGAACTCTAGAAGAAACGCACAGACGTGCAATTTGAATGGTCTGATTCCAAACATAACAGGGGTGAGAAGAGTAAAACCCCTGTAACCATGAACATTGATCTGCACAGGCCAGTACCTACAAGAGTCACTGCATGAATCAGAGACTCGTCTGGCCACCATGTGCCCATTGGGAAGGCAACAGGCATGTCTGGACAGTGCCCCCTTCACGGCCGTTACACGCACAGATAGTCCAGCGATAGCTGTGACTGCCCCTCCCGGGGGACACAAATGCAACGAGAACTCATGGGAAATGGTGACTTTCTAATCATGATCCCAGTAGGTAGGTTGGAGAGACACAGAGACGGCGAGAGAGTTTCTACCATTCCCAGCTGTCTCCTCACATCCCCTGGTAACCAGGCTCCCAGGAGCGCTCCCAGACCAGACCTGAGCAGAGAACTCCCGCGTCCTCCTTGTGTCTGCAGTTGTGCTGGCCCCAGGGTGCGAAAGGACAGGCCCAGAGATCGGATTCGTTCCCAGAGCACTTCACATCGTCCAGCCAGATCTGCCCGGACCCTTGCCCGTAATGAGCAGAGACAGTTGCATTGAGGGCGTGTCCACATCCCAGCTGTTTGCAAACGACATCGGCGTCCGGCAGGTCCCAGGAATCGTCACAGACTGTCCCCCAGGTGCCATTGTAATAAATCTCCACTCTCCCGGCACAGCGACCCGGCCCATTCGCCAGCCTGATCCGCCTGCTCCCTGCGGGACAGATCCCAGCGGTTAGTGCTTGTCGCCCTGCTGCCCAGAGCACGTGTGTGAGGCTCTTATAAATCTGTCTTTAAGAAGAAACACAGGAAAAGAAAAGAAACCTGTTGGGTAAGGAAATGAGGAAAACTTTGCTAGAAAAGAGTTTTGATAAATACAAAGGACCTAATTCTAAATGCCTTACACTTCTGAGTAATTGCTATTTGGGATTCGTCAGCTGGGTGAGAGCTACCTGTGAAGCTTAGGGTTTGCAAAATCAGCCCTTACTGCAAATCTTGACTATTTTCAAACACTTCTTAAATGATAAATATCAAGTTGTTTAATGAATATGACAAACAGCTAATTTTGTTTTAGTTGCTATACAGGTTGGACCTCCTGGTCCAGCACCCTTGGGACCTGAGTGGTCCTAGATGAGGGATTTTGCTGGAACAGGGAAGGTCATTTCTGGGCCCACTGCTACCAACCGCACCCCTGCCCTGCTGCCCCATGGGGCTTCCCAGCTCCCCCAGCAGCCAGGCTGGGGAACGTGCACCAGACTTCCCAACTCTCCTCCACAGCCTCACCCCAGACATTTCAGCTCTGCCCTCAGCCCAGTGGATACATATGCTGGCCTTCCTGGTTTCCTCCTGCCCCCAAAACCCAGCTGGGCCATTGCGCTGAACTCCCTGCTTGCCCCCTGCACCTGCTCCTGGGTCCCTCCATCCTCTCCCTTTCACTGCATACTGGGATTCTCTTATCCTTCAACATCTGTGGGCTGGGCAAGAGAGCGCCTGTTTATAGAAGTGCAACCTGCAGAATTGGGGAGATGCCAGATTAGAAAAACCCCAGACTTGGTATCTATTTATTTTAAAAATAAAGAGAAAGAAAGGGAAATTGGATGCCTATGTCTGCAATAATGTCCCAGGCACAGAGCCTAATTCTATTTCTGCAGAAATCAATTGTGACGCTCCCACTGATACCATTGGTGCAGCAATGGGCCCTTAATGCATTGTCAGGATCAAGGTGTGGGCATGAAAAATTATTTCAGTGCACTAATATTACAGTACATGACATAGGGACATATTAAAAGTTTGTTCCTTAAATGGTGCCAGTGTTATTATATCATGTATAATTTTGTTGTGTAATCTTAAAGCAAATAAATACTGGTAAACCATCACAAAAGGACATGAGAACAATCCTGTACAATAAAAAAATAAATCTCATCACAGATTCTTTTTTTTTCCCATTTCCCGTAAATGAAAGGTTTAGGATTTAAAAATGTCATATTATAACAACAACTCTGATATATTTCCTAAGTGTCCAAATACAGAATGTATAGGTCATTAAATATGCATTGAATCAGGGATGTGACTCTCCCACATCCCAGGTGAATGCCCAGATACTGTCTTGCTTTTTCCTCTCATTCAGTGACTGATTTATACAAAGTTGAACATTTCCAGCAGGAGAGACTCAGCCCTGTTTAACCTGTGTTAGGACGCCCGCCTGTGTTTATGTCCCTGCTTCAAATCAGGGATTTGAACATAGATTTCCCACATCTTTAACCACTGGGTAACATGGGGAGGGGACAGAGAGAGCTGACTTGGCTCACACATGTATCCCCAGGAATAGGTTCATGACTGAGAATTCTGAGCAAAGATAGGTGCCATGCTCTGGCCTGTGTGTAAGAAGCCTAAGAATTAGGTCAATGGCAAACAGCCATCTAACAAACTTTGGGTATCTAGGCCTATCCCCTTCCCCAGTATTTCACTTCTGGCAAATATAGGAGGCTTCCTATGTAGAGGTGCCCAGCTCTGCCAAGGCACTGTACAGGGAGCTGGGCATGTGACTCAGGGCTGAGGATTGTATTGGGCGGCAAGGCACTTAGGAGTCAGGCTTTCCAAAGCCAAGTCCCTTTGGGGATCTATCCCAGAGCTGTTATCCATGGCACTCTTGGTCAAAGGGCTGCCATCCTTTCCTTACTGTTGTTTTCTGAGTCAAGACAGAATGTTTTAACATTAAGAAGCCCCTCTCTCTATTACAGCTGCTCAGGAAATTCATTCTTTCCCCGACAAACTAGTCAGATGAACATGAATATTTTTTTCTCTTTTGATAGCAAATTTGGGCTTTTCCACAAAAATCTGAACATTTTGTATGAAAACAACATTTTGTGAAAGGTATGTCATTGTAAAGATTTTTCATTTGCACCAAGTTTCCATGAAAATGTGTTCAGGAGTGCTATGATATACACATTTCAAGTAGAGAGTGGCATTGGTACAGGGCATTATTTATATAATGTGGCTATGCTTTCTTCTGCACATAATAGGATACTATAGAAGTGGGCCAAAGTTTGAATCTCAGATCCACATCGTTTCAATGACTGATGAGATCTCAGCACAAAGAGGGGTGGAGGCAGGCCCTCAGATGGGCCATGTTCCCATTGAACCAACAGAATGTTTGTGAGTTTTCACATTTAGTCACCTGAGCAAATAACACCGACGTCCTCAGCAGCTCCTGCCTGGGGTGTCTCTGACATGGAGATGTCACAGTTAGCCAGACGAGTCTCGTTCCCTGCACACTGGACCCTTCTCAGCCCCACAGGGCCTTTTCCTCGCTGAGATATAGAAGGGCTATAAGCTCTCTCAGCTGCTCCACACTGGAGCTGCCTGCAGACCACGCTGGCATCGTTCATGTCCCACTGGTCATCCAGCACCCTGTGCCACACACCTCGGAGGGAAATCTCCACTCTGCCGTCGCATCGGCCATCTCCACTCAGCAGCTGCAGTGCCCCAGCGAGACCTGGGCCTAGGAAAGTCAGGAGATGCACTGAATAACAGTCCCTGTTGCATTGCAAACACTGGGCAATGTTTGAAGTTTTATGGACCATCCCAGTGACCAAGTGTGTTATAGAATTCAGAGGAGTAACCTGAGCAGATTTGTTATGAATTTCTAAGAGGAGGGTGCTTTAAGGCATGTAACACTGACCGGGGCTTGGAAGGGACTTCTGGGAGACACTGGGCTCAGAGCTGCACTCTATTTTAGTGTGCCAGTCCCTAGCACCAAGTGTAGACACACCCATGGCACATGGAACCCCCCTACTGCCGCCAACCCACAGAGCCCAGAGGAATGCCCATCTGTTCCTAACACTATCAAAGTCATGATTTGGAGAAGGGTGGGGGCAGTAAGTTGGTGACATTTAGGAAACTTTGATCCTTCACGCCTGCCCTGAATACACAGACCTTTGCTGAAGATCTTCCTAGAGAATCCAGCCCTCTCCCCAGTCATAATTACACTTTGGTGATAACATGTATCTCACTTGCAATACAGTCATTATTACTGTGCAAGGTTGAGGATCCAGCTCCCCCTCCCCTCACTGTGCCCTGAGGTCCCCCTGCTCTGGGGCAGTGTCACACACTGAGGGCAGGTGTCACTAATCCAGCTTTGCTCCTGCACTTACCTGAGCAAACCACACCGGCATCATTGTCGTGTGAGCACGGAGAGGCCCCCAGGGCAGTGACAGGACAGTGCCCCAAATGGGGTTCAGTCCCTTTACAGTGAAATGTGTCTGCCCAGACAGAGCCGGTTCCCTTCCCAAAGTGCCCTCCTCCTGGCACCGACACAGCGACTCCACAGTCGAGGTGATGACAGAGAACATTGGCGTCTGAGAGATCCCAGCGTGAGTCTCTCTCCCGCATTCCAGGTAAATGCCCAGATACTGTTTTGCTTTTTCCTCTCATTCAGGGACTGATTTATACAAAGTTGAACATTTCCAGCAGGAGAGACTCAGCCCTGTTTAACCTGTGTTAGGACGCCCGCCTGTGTTTATGTCCCTTCTTCAAATCAGGGATTTGAACATAGATTTCCCACATCTTTAACCACTGGGTAACATGGGGAGGGGACAGAGAGAGCTGACTTGGCTCACACATGTATCCCCAGGAATAGGTTCATGACTGAGAATTCTGAGCAAAGATAGGTGCCATGCTCTGGCCTGTGTGTAAGAAGCCTAAGAATTAGGTCAATGGCAAACAGCCATCTAACAAACTTTGGGTATCTAGGCCTATCCCCTTCCCCAGTATTTCACTTCTGGCAAATATAGGAGGCTTCCTATGTAGAGGTGCCCAGCTCTGCCAAGGCACTGTACAGGGAGCTGGGCATGTGACTCAGGGCTGAGGATTGTATTGGGCGGCAAGGCACTTAGGAGTCAGGCTTTCCAAAGCCAAGTCCCTTTGGGGATCTATCCCAGAGCTGTTATCCATGGCACTCTTGGTCAAAGGGCTGCCATCCTTTCCTTACTGTTGTTTTCTGAGTCAAGACAGAATGTTTTAACATTAAGAAGCCCCTCTCTCTATTACAGCTGCTCAGGAAATTCATTCTTTCCCCGACAAACTAGTCAGATGAACATGAATATTTTTTTTCTCTTTTGATAGCAAATTTGGGCTTTTCCACAAAAATCTGAACATTTTGTATGAAAACAACATTTTGTGAAAGGTATGTCATTGTAAAGATTTTTCATTTGCACCAAGTTTCCATGAAAATGTGTTCAGGAGTGCTATGATATACACATTTCAAGTAGAGAGTGGCATTGGTACAGGGCATTATTTATATAATGTGGCTATGCTTTCTTCTGCACATAATAGGATACTATAGAAGTGGGCCAAAGTTTGAATCTCAGATCCACATCGTTTCAATGACTGATGAGATCTCAGCACAAAGAGGGGTGGAGGCAGGCCCTCAGATGGGCCATGTTCCCATTGAACCAACAGAATGTTTGTGAGTTTTCACATTTAGTCACCTGAGCAAATAACACCGACGTCCTCAGCAGCTCCTGCCTGGGGTGTCTCTGACATGGAGATGTCACAGTTAGCCAGACGAGTCTCGTTCCCTGCACACTGGACCCTTCTCAGCCCCACAGGGCCTTTTCCTCGCTGAGATATAGAAGGGCTATAAGCTCTCTCAGCTGCTCCACACTGGAGCTGCCTGCAGACCACGCTGGCATCGTTCATGTCCCACTGGTCATCCAGCACCCTGTGCCACACACCTCGGAGGGAAATCTCCACTCTGCCGTCGCATCGGCCATCTCCACTCAGCAGCTGCAGTGCCCCAGCGAGACCTGGGCCTAGGAAAGTCAGGAGATGCACTGAATAACAGTCCCTGTTGCATTGCAAACACTGGGCAATGTTTGAAGTTTTATGGACCATCCCAGTGACCAAGTGTGTTATAGAATTCAGAGGAGTAACCTGAGCAGATTTGTTATGAATTTCTAAGAGGAGGGTGCTTTAAGGCATGTAACACTGACCGGGGCTTGGAAGGGACTTCTGGGAGACACTGGGCTCAGAGCTGCACTCTATTTTAGTGTGCCAGTCCCTAGCACCAAGTGTAGACACACCCATGGCACATGGAACCCCCCTACTGCCGCCAACCCACAGAGCCCAGAGGAATGCCCATCTGTTCCTAACACTATCAAAGTCATGATTTGGAGAAGGGTGGGGGCAGTAAGTTGGTGACATTTAGGAAACTTTGATCCTTCACGCCTGCCCTGAATACACAGACCTTTGCTGAAGATCTTCCTAGAGAATCCAGCCCTCTCCCCAGTCATAATTACACTTTGGTGATAACATGTATCTCACTTGCAATACAGTCATTATTACTGTGCAAGGTTGAGGATCCAGCTCCCCCTCCCCTCACTGTGCCCTGAGGTCCCCCTGCTCTGGGGCAGTGTCACACACTGAGGGCAGGTGTCACTAATCCAGCTTTGCTCCTGCACTTACCTGAGCAAACCACACCGGCATCATTGTCGTGTGAGCACGGAGAGGCCCCCAGGGCAGTGACAGGACAGTGCCCCAAATGGGGTTCAGTCCCTTTACAGTGAAATGTGTCTGCCCAGACAGAGCCGGTTCCCTTCCCAAAGTGCCCTCCTCCTGGCACCGACACAGCGACTCCACAGTCGAGGTGATGACAGAGAACATTGGCGTCTGAGAGATCCCAGCGTGAGTCACAGAAGGTTCCCCAGGCATCACGAATCTGGATCTCCACCCTCCCAGAGCAGGCTGTGCTGCCGTTCACCAGCTGGAACCCTATGTGCTCTAGGGAGAAGAGAGTTAGAGAGGGAGCCTTTAATATATTTTATATCAAATACACAACAAATGGAAAGAAGCACATTCAATAGGAGTCAATTTATATTAAAAGTTATAAAATGTATAGCATTGATAAGGGAAGCTAAAGCTATCAGAGAAACTATTTGGTGGGAATACGAACAATAATAAGAAACTTTAGGGTATTTTAGAAGCAAAAAAACAAAACAAAAAACAAAACAAAACAAAAACCCTAACAAAGGTATATTGCCTTCATAAATGGAGGTGACAACATAGTTTATAATGATGCAAATCAGACAGAGGTGTTTAGTAAACATTTTTGGTTTTGAATAGAAGCAGGATGTATACTCATACTATGTGATGAAGTTGAACTATGCAGTGTGTTGGTAACTAAGGAGGATGTTAAGCAGTATCTACTGGGGATAAATACAAATCATCAGGCCAGGATAACTCTTAAAATCATAGAATAAATAGAATGCAGGACTGGAAGTAGCTTCACAAAGTCAGCTAGTCTATCTCCCCTACCCCACACACAAACTAAGGCAGGTTAAAGAATACCTGGAACATCCCTGATTGTTGTCTAACTTGTTCTTAAAAGCCTCCAATAACAGGGATCCCACAACCGCCCTTGGTGCCTTGTTCTAGTACTTAACTATCCATATACTTTGAAATTTTTTCCTAATATGTGACCTGGCAACTGAACTAGCACTCCCAGGGTGAGGCTATGAAAAGACTAAGATGATCCTTGGATGTGTAAATGGGAATAATAATGAGGGTTATCAAATAATTAAACAATTAGTCACTGTTAAATAATAATGGAATGCCATTTCTTTCTTTCTTTCAAAGATTTTCCTGTGGGGCATCGCGCCCTGCTCCACAGCCTCAACAGAGTCCCCAGAAGGGGAAGAAGCTGTGGGTTCTCCTCCTCCTCGGGGGGTGCCTTGGACTCCCCACTGACCGTCAGCTCCCCTGAAGGAGGGCCAGGGGGTGGCAGCAGCAGTTACTGTACTGGGGGCCCCAATGTGCCAGGACCCAGAGGGGAGCCACCGCCTCCTGCTGGTCAGTGCAGGCTTGCTGGGGCCACTGCATGCCTGGCTCTCCAGCCTGGAACCCTCCTTCCATCCCCCCAGCCCTGCAAGAGTAGCGCACCAGTGTCGGCTTCCTGCGGGGGAGCGGGGAGACAAGAAAACCCCAAGTCTCTGTGTCTAGCAGCATGTGTACATCGAGTCTCCATGCCCGAGATCCTCCCTCAGTGCGTGCTTCACTGCAGGCTGCCTCTGATGCGGAGACTCAAAACGCGCATGCTGCTGGGTGCAGAGCCAGGCACGCAGTGGCCACAGGGCACCTGGCCTGAGCAGTCAGAATTGGCAGCTCCCCACTGGGTCCCAGAGCATTGGAGCCCTCAGCACAGAGAGGAGACACTGCTGCCATCCCCATCTCCCCCAGCTCAGCTCTGGCCTTCCTCTGGGGGGTGACTGTGGCTGTCTGTAGCTGGGGTGGAGAGAATGGGGGGGTGGGGGCGAGAGGCCAGGGAGGAGGAGGAGGAAGAGGGACCAGGGAAGAGGCCAGGGCTGGCTGCAACTGGGGAAGGGGATGGGGTGATGAGAGGCTGGGGGGGGGGAATGGGGGGGCCAAGATGTCAGAGAGGGGAATGGAGGGCTGGGAAGGCAGAGGGGAATCAGGGATGTGACTCTCCCACATCCCAGGTGAATGCCCAGATACTGTCTTGCTTTTTCCTCTCATTCAGTGACTGATTTATACAAAGTTGAACATTTCCAGCAGGAGAGACTCAGCCCTGTTTAACCTGTGTTAGGACGCCCACCTGTGTTTATGTCCCTGCTCCCAATCAGGGGTTTGAACATAGATTTCCCACATCCTCAACCACTGGGTAACATGGGGAGAGGACAGAAAGAGCTGAGCTGTCTCTCACATGTATCCCCAGGAATGGGTTCATGACTGAGAATTCTGAGCAAAGATAGGTGCCATGCTCTGGCCTGTGTGTAAGAAGCCTAAGAATTAGGTCAATGGCAAACAGCCATCTAACAAACTTTGGGTATCTAGGCCTATCCCCTTCCCCAGTATTTCACTTCTGGCAAATATAGGAGGCTTCCTATGTAGAGGTGCCCAGCTCTGCCAAGGCACTGTACAGGGAGCTGGGCATGTGACTCAGGGCTGAGGATTGTATTGGGCGGCAAGGCACTTAGGAGTCAGGCTTTCCAAAGCCAAGTCCCTTTGGGGATCTATCCCAGAGCTGTTATCCATGGCACTCTTGGTCAAAGGGCTGCCATCCTTTCCTTACTGTTGTTTTCTGAGTCAAGACAGAATGTTTTAACATTAAGAAGCCCCTCTCTCTATTACAGCTGCTCAGGAAATTCATTCTTTCCCCGACAAACTAGTCAGATGAACATGAATATTTTTTTTCTCTTTTGATAGCAAATTTGGGCTTTTCCACAAAAATCTGAACATTTTGTATGAAAACAACATTTTGTGAAAGGTATGTCATTGTAAAGATTTTTCATTTGCACCAAGTTTCCATGAAAATGTGTTCAGGAGTGCTATGATATACACATTTCAAGTAGAGAGTGGCATTGGTACAGGGCATT